TCACGATCCCTTCCTCCTTCTGAACAAGGTATTCGGGTTCAAATTTCCTTCCGTTTCCTTAAAGGACAGGAGATCTGTAGGCCATTCATCCTCTAGGTCATCTTCATCGAGTTCTTCTGTCACAAAAATATTGCTGCTGACCACAGACGGCGCCTGGCAGTCGTTTTCGTGGGTATTAACGACAGAGGGGGTGGCTGGTTTCTTTGAAAACATTTCAATGATCCTTTTGCTTTTTTCCAGCGCCATTAACGCAGTAGCATTATGATCAATCGTCTTCGTCGAGTCATTTTCGTTCGCATTAGTTATTGTTCTTAAACTTGTCGAGAGTCTTGGACGTTTTGAAGAAGCATCATCGTTGACAATCTTATTTCCTTTATCGCCCAAATTGTTAGCGCTGGTCGGTTCATCCTGACCAGATGTCTTACGCTTACGTTCAGATACGTGCCACGCGGTATTTGGATTCTCCTCAACGAGATCGTTGGTTCCGATTTCAGACGAGGAAATTGGGAAAACACCCGTTAACTGCTCATTGGAGTCTACTTCATCCATCGGGTTATTTAAAATAGACATTTCATTCTCGCTGAACACTTTGTCACTTTCCTCAGCTGCTGAGTTTAGTGCTTTGTTTTCCCCTCCTCTTACTTCCTCATTGGCAGGCAGAGATTCATTTTGAGAAAGAAGATTATTTTCAGTGTCGCTGCTGTTTTCAGCACTATCACCTTTATTGTTTTCAATCGATGTTGCCGTGTCAATACTTCTTATCATGTCTTCCAGGTTCAGCCGTTTTAGTACGAGTTTAGCCTGGCGCGAGTACTCCTCCTGAGGATCATCCGGGAACCTCGTATGCAAGGCGTTCATACTTCCTAATAAGGCGCTGTTCTGCATGGAGCATTCTACGCACGTCACAGCGACGATGGCATCCTGAACGGTGACGAATTCACGAAACATCAAGCGCGCATGCGCCTGTGCTAACCTTATAAGGCTTTCCAGTAATCTGATGGTGGTCCGTGCTGCATTGCGCAAGTCCGCTTGCCGCTGACAGTGGTAATAGCGGCTCAGAATTCTGCGGAAAAAGGAATACCAGTTTAATCTAAAGCTACGATAAAACGGGCGAGAAAAACGTACAATTTGTTTCGAAACATCGCTGCAAAACGAGTTTAAAACTAAAGCGATGTTAAGCGTTTTACCGTCCATGTTCAAAGCCCTTATGCAACAAATCAGGTTGCTGCAAGTTGCTTCAATACTGACTACTGATTGGATAACATTACGTGGGAGTCACGCCACACATGGGTATTACGTCATTTGCTGTAAAACAAGTTTCCCTTGGGCCGGTAAAACATGCACAGATTTTGTTGCAAGAAATAGAACTACTCTCTGCTTTCTGCAACAACTTTTCGCAACCTGCATCAACCTGAATTGTTGAAAAACAGGTTTGAACGTGGGTGGTAAAACGCGCTTTTCAACAAGTCTTGCAGCAATGTTGCAAAACAAGTTACAAGTCTTTTGTTGCCCGTTTTGTTTCATATCAAAAAACGGAGTTTGCGTCATTCTACCCTGGGTGCCAGAGACTTTTCTAGCGCGGTTTCCGGTTTCTGACAAGTCTTTATAGTGACGGCCGAAGATGTGTCGGCCTTCGGCCAACACCGAAAATCCCCGCCGCACGCGAGAAAAACCTCTGTTACCTCGGGTAGCGTCATTCAAATCCGGAGTAAAATCTGCAAATGACTTAAAATTTCGGGATGACGTAGAAAACTGATTTTTCTCCGCTGTATAAAAGAGAGTCAGTGACAAGAATAGGAAACGGTCTCCGTCGAAAAGGTCCGTTTTCTTAAAAATTTTTGTTCAATATTAGAGGGCGTGTTTGTCGCCCGTTTTTCTGTATTTCGTCAAAAACTACTGAAACTTTAAACTTAAATGCACACATTACAAATATTAAACAGCTCTCCGAGTCCGCAAATTAATTGAAATTTCGAGAAACGGGCCCTTGGTTGGTGTTTAGACCGGGCTGCGACACCGCGACCTCCCGATCAGTTGGGCATGTTCTAAAAACGGGAACACCAGAACACCTCGGAACACCCCAAAAATCTGGCGGTAAGAATAAAGGAAAAACACCAATAGAAACCCTGACCCTGATCTGTGAAATGTTGAATGTTTGTTCTATTTGTTTTATTCATTTGACATATTTCTAGGTGTTCCGGGTTTTAGTACAGCTGACTTGTCACGCATGTCGCCTTGATAAGAGTGGCTGATTTACGGTCATCTCGCCACCAAGAAGTTGACTCGCCACCCACAAACAACTCTGAAATAACTGACATAATTTAATTACCATGGATTATTTACCTAGAATTTTTACTTTTTCGTCAAGATTATTCGTATTTGAAGTTCACTCTAATACAAATCTGTTGATCCTAATTGTCGATTTTCTTCAAATCCTTGCATCGAACTTCTCATGCTCTTAATATTCTCAATACTGACAATAGGTTCGGTAAACGCGGCAGAAAAGTTTGACAACACCAGTCATGTCTTTAAAAATATGATTAAGGAATGGCTAAGAGAAAATTCATGTTCATGCAAATTCTTTTTGTCTGTTTTGTACACTAATGGGACTTTTTAAAATTAACGCTAAGTTCTATTCTTGGTGGCGAGATGGTTTGGTGGCGAGGCGACCGGATACCGATTCGCTTCAGTTCATACGCGATTTTCACCAAACACAAATGACGTTTCGCCAAAGTCCTTTTCGCTAACGTGTTAAGTCGCCTCGCTCACTTGTTAGGTGAATTCCCTAACTGCTTTCGTCTGATCAGTGGCTGAAGGAACAACGTATATACATGTGTAACGCACTGTTTCGTACCAAGGCTGAGAGAACGAGGTATATCTACATGCGCAGCGCTCGTTTCCTTTCTCAGTGAGCAGAACGACATAAGATGTTTGCGAAACATCATTTGATTTGGGTGAAACGACCGGTAACCGATAACTAACCTGTTACTTTCAGGTGTGAGTTGAGGTTTAAGTGTCTTGATATAACAGAAATAAGCCTGCATTTTCTCCATGCTCCATAGCGGGTCTGTTGAAGAACCAGTTGTACGAAGACCTTTCCCTTCTAGAATAAACGATGATACTATTCTATAAAAAAAGATAAAACAGACTTAATACAGTACAGAGTGTATTAGTGGTGGCTTACGAGAATCGACAAACAGGTGGTCTCTACTGAGAAGAGGCCCCAACACATCTAATTTTTGGACAATAATTTATTGCACGCAATCATGATTTTCTAAGTTACGTATAAGTGTGGTTCCATGTTGTCACTAAAAGTTCTTGTTAGACTCTGAACGGCATGGTACGTGATTTTCTCAATACTCAGTAGTGTTTGCAAGTGAACCAGCGTCATTTTGGCGGGAAAACGCGACAGCCGTCGTCATTTGTCGTCATTCTACTACGAGTTTTAGCGGAATGTCGTATAGTGGCGAAAACAAGTTATCAAATGTTGGAAGCTTCATCATTTTGTGAATGGGAGAGTAAACAAAGGTTGGTCCATAGTTTGCTGTCTCGCTGAGGCTCCTACGTAATTAGGGCACTTTAAGCAACAGTAAAACGGGCAACAAAAAAGTGGAACTTGTTTTGCGAAATTTCTGCAAAACGAGTTGAACAGCGATGTTGCGCGCGTTTTACCACCCATATTTGAAATCTTCCCTGCAACAAATAAAGTTGCAAGGTCTTTTTACGCAGGTGGTAAAACGCGCACCTTCACTATTCCACTCGATTTGCGGCAAAGTCGCAAAACAAGTTGCACGTTTTTGTGTTGCTCGTTTTACAGTCTAAGTACAAGTCACATTCCACGGGTCAAGAGTACAGGTCATTGCTTCATTGATAAATCAGGGACTTTAAGATCCAACGACGCGGACGGTAACGAGAACGTCAAAAAAACAATTGGCTTAATTAGCAAAACAACAACTTTGCACGTGCAGCACGCTTTTTTGTACATTTCTCTGCCCGTTTTAGCACAACTACGACGTGAACATGCCTAATTTCGCGTTTTACCGAGGACGTAAACAAGCAACGACGAAATTTTATTTCTCTTACTGTGCTTGGATATGGTGCCTAGGAATTCAACTCCAGGAGTGTTCGCCTACATTTGACAAAGTAAATGTGTAGGAATAATTGCGATAAAGACTGAAAGAACGCAAATTCACTTTTTCAGCGACGTTCTCGTCGCCGTCGCGTCGTCGAATCTTAAAGTCCCTATTACCAAACCACGCAGACTTCCCCTCGATCTAATAGAGCATTTCGGATTAGGGCTAAGAGACACTTTTAATGCTATTCATTTATCTGTATCATGGTGACCTGTACTCAGACTTGTGGAAAAGTGACCTGTATTTTAGACCCACCGACAGTCGCTGTCTTGTGTTCACTGCATGACGTCTTCCATAAAACGTGAATGTAGGAAGTTTCACGTCCTAGTCGTGCAACGACGACAAAGAAATGTACAAAAAAGCGTGCAGCACGTGTAAAGTTGTTGTTTTGCTAAATGTGTCGGGAAAATCCCAGACGATCGGGGATTTTACTGTTTTCCGACCGTCCCAGATTTTGCCGACTAATGAAAACTCGAAATCGTAGGGAAGAATACCCTAGGGAGGCAATTAATCGGGGGACGGCTATTATATTCGAGAAAATACGGTAAATAAACCTATCGCCGTCGTCGTTGGTTAAGCACCTTGCTATTACATATGTACCTGTCCCACTCCTCGTTTCTAGCGTCATGCAAAACCAACAGCAAATCAAATCTGCTAAGTAGTGGACTGGCGACTGCAATGTTAACACTAAGACACTCTGCCGGGTCATATGGTCCTTTAGGGTTTGTAGCTGCTAGGATTGTTGTCCTAGTGTTGAGCTTGCAAACCATTCCTGCCTTAGCCACACTAATGGTCTGCTGCTCCATAGCTTCATGAATACCTGAAAATGTACTGCATGTCATTTAGGCGTGATTCTCACTAGCTGCGGAAGCAAAAAGCACGCACAAAAAATAGAACGCCGATGCTTGCGCAAGATGGGGTCCATGCTCTATTCCATGAATTTCCATGGAGTTTTTCGATGACTTTTCGTTTAGTTATCACTAAGCCATAAGTTACAGGCAAAGCTAACTTGATGGAGGGCACACTGTTTTTGTTTAACGCGCCTGCGGGGCGAAGGGTGCAACCCCGCTTTACGGACAGACGCTTAATACGGACACCTTATTATTACAGACATTTTTGCTCTGTCCCTGGGGAAAGAATGCACTCAAATTTTCTCTAAATTCAACCTGCTTAATACGGACACTTTCTATGGGGATGTACCAGAGAAAGAACTGTACAAGAAAAAGAACACCGACGCATGCGCAAGGCAGGGTTCGTACTCTTTTGCGCTCATCAGATTCCATGAATTTCCATGGCCTTTTTTCTTAAACTTTTCAAATTGTTCAGGACTTTAGGTTAAGCTGTTGCTAAAGTCATAAGTTGTAAACTCATAAGAGTTTACAGGCTATGGTAATTTGATAGGTGGGTACCCTGTTTGTTTAATGTGGTGGGGGGGGGGGAGAGGAGGGAAGTAATGGGAGGAGGCCTAAATAGAGGACAGGAGTGGATCTAGGGGAAGGATGCAGGAAGTGTACCCCCCCTCCCCGGAGATGACCTTCGGCTTTCTAATACAACTAGTATTCTGCAAAATATGCAGATATGTATAATATGTATTCTCAGCAGTTTACATTATGTTCTTGCCAAGACAAAAGCCTTCTTCGTATTTGCTTTTAAGTTTTTTTACGTCACTAGTCAGTTACGCCATTTCTTAGTGGTGCACCCTTTCCTAAGAAAAATCCTGGATCCACCCCTGGAAGAGGAGGATCTACGACTTAAGTGAAAGGGATGCTTAACTTAACATCATCCACAGAATGATCTCTTACATGTTCTGTCATGTTCTTGGATACTGTTGAACTCATCAATACAACACAGCCCACCATCTGCCAGTACAAGGGCCCCTGCTTCCAGCTGCCACTCGCCAGAGTCCCGCACAGCCGCCACAGTCAGCCCAGCACTTGTTGAACCAATCCCAGTAGTTAGGACTGAACGAGGTGTGATTTTTGCAGCATATTTTAAGAACTGAGATTTTCCTGTTCCTAGCAGCAGTTTGAAGAATGAAACAGTTGTGAGCCTAGAGTATGAGTAATAGATAAGCGGCGCACATAGTGACAACTTAGTTTAACTTTTAACTCTGTTTGTAAGAAGGTAACCCCTTAGAATCATGTAAACTTGGTGTAGGCACCACAATGAAAAAGCCACGTGTGGTCCACCACCCCACTAATTTTTACAGTTGTTAGTCTAAATTCTCATGTCTTACCTGACTACCTCTGGGTCCTTTAGGATGAGCTAATGACTTAAATCAGACATTTCAAGTCAGACTGGAAAGGTGCCTTTCAAACTAAATGCAAAATGCTTTTTTTGCGATCAAAATATATCCTATTAATCTTCATAACACTCCATGATAACCTGAAAATTATTCTCCCCGACTATTACTAACTATGCCCAGGTTTCCCTGACTTTTCTCTGTCTCTGAGAACATTGTCTTTCCAAATTTTTCTGACTGTAGAAGCCCAGTGAGACTCACCTGGGTCTCCCACCAGCAGTAAATGTGACTCTCCTCTGACTCGTGTCCCAGACGGATCAACTCGCTGCACTCCACCAATAAGAACCAAGGCTACCGCTAGTTTAACAGCATACAGTCCATACACTTGAGGGCAGAAACTGGAGAGGATGTGGTTCCTAGCTTGGAGGGGTGCATTTGTGTATTTTTGCCAAAAATCAGCAAATTCACGCTTTAGTTCTTCAGTAACTGCAACTCCAGCTCTCTGCTCATTATTAACAGATAGGTGATTTGCTTTGAGTACAACCTCAAGGTCACAGCGACTCTAAACAGTTTAAAACAAAGCTGCATTAATCTTCTATAATTCAAGACTTTAAGTTTGGAGAGATTAAAAGCAATAGGCCCTTTGTAGCTTCACATTGCATGACATCCTTGATGCAAAAATTATGGGATACAACTTAAAAAAAAAATACCAGGGATAGAGAGAGCATTACAAAATAAGCCATAAAGCCAAATTTGAAGTAATTTTTACAAAGGACAAAGATTTTAATGGTGTTGAAATGTCTCCAAAATTTTAAAGGTGAGTCGGCAGGACACGTCACTAAGGACAGTTGGCCAGAGAGTTCTGATTTCTGATTCTTGTGCTGAGCTTGCACAAGAATACTTTACACAGGTAAAATTAGACACAGTTTTACTAGAACTGTTTATCGCAACACCTTGTGAGGCTGTAAAAGGCCAGCAGTACAAATAAAATTTGAAGTGATTGACACAGAGGACTAAGATTTTGTTGGGGGGTATTGAAATGTCTGCAAAATTTTGAAGAGATGTCACTAAAGACAGTTTTCTGATCCTTGTGCTGAGCTTGCACAGGAATACTTACTTTGCAGGCAAGATAAGATACAGTTTTAAAATGAAAGTAAGAATGCATTTATGGGGATTGGGAAGAGGTAAAATGAAACCCATCAATGACAGGGTGAGTTGGCCTGCGTCACAGACAAAACTAAACTTTGGGTTAAGTCCGTCTGTGAAACAGCACCAAAATCTTTGTTCTAGGCCTCCACCTGCGTAACAGGATTTGGACTGTTAAAAATGCCATTGTCGACTTGTCGATCAGGTTGAAGGGAAACTTGAAAAGCATTTCTGGTAATTCATTGCATTCACTGGAGACCCAGAACAAGGATATCAGTGCTGCCTCAGAGACATTACTAACTGCGGTTAGATTACATCTGTGCATGATGTAGGTTAGGGTGAGGAAAAATATTTTTTCTGGAATATCAAAATCCTTTTGTGTGACCAGTCAAATAAGATCTGACTGCATCTTTTGTTTCTAACAGTCTTGTTAGTAAATTTTAGCTCTGCTATGTTTACTGTTTGAACAAATAGTTTTTATACAGCCCTGATTACACTTACATCAACAAATACTGGTTTCCATCTTCTCATTACCACCCCACATATGGTTACATCATCCCCAGCCTTGCAAGAGTCCACTAAATCATCTTCAAGTACAACCCACATGGCACGTGGGATGGTGCCAACTGCAAGCTTCTGGACCTGCTCTTGTATTTTGATCTCTTGGTAATCTCGACAACTTTTTGGCTCTGATGCTTTGATTCACAGTGAAAAAAAGTTATAATCATGTTAACAATAAATAATACATGAGTGGTTCCACCTGTCTTGAAATGATTTATTATTCTTCGATGATGTCCAATCAGGGTGTAAAGAAAGTCATTTTTGACAGCTTAGTATTCAGCCAAGCTGAGGCTAGCATACATTAGCCCAAACGTCATTTCAACTTGCCCCAAAAACGTTTTGATGAGCAGAATTGATTTCACAGTTCTTCCGTAACTTGAATTCCTCAAAAAACTTCACTTGCCCTTCAGGCAAGTTAAGAACAGAATTCACTAGCCCGATAGCAAAATTCACGAGCCCTGGGCTATTGGACACTACTTTCTTTGCACGCTACCAATGCAAAGAGAATGCTTGTGTTGGGAGGCAGTAGACTCATCACACCCATTCACTCTTGAAGAGAGTTGAGAAAAACAGAGACAAGTGTGCACAGGATTCCTACATGACATGATTCATTTGCACAAAGTGGAGCAAAGTTTCTCGACTAAAGAAACAAGGCTTGAGCCCAGACCTACAGGTCTGCAGTTCAAAGTGTTAACTGCTCAGTCACCATGCAAGCCTCCACATGAAATATGGGGCGGGGAGGGGGGGGGAGGGGTTAAAGGAGAAGACATGCATCTCTTTTGAGAAATAATATTCTACAGTGGAACCTCAATAAAATGAACTTCTATAAATAATAAAGTCCTTGGAATAACAAACAATCTTCATTACCCTAGTGATAGTAAAATATATGAAAAAGAACCTTGATATAATGAAACCTCGTTATAGTGAACAAATTTTGCCAGTAACTTGGCCCTTTGTTATATCAAGGTTCCACTTTATTGTGTTTCGAGAACCTACCACCATCTGACAGGCAGTTGAACTTGTTTGAGTTGCACTCTTTAGATGAGGGGCATTTGGTTGGTTTGGGAATGGAGTAAAACTGTTCAAAGTCAGCTTTAACTCCAAAGACCTGTTTGCAGCGGCAACAGATGTATTCTCTCTCATATTCTAGAAGCTTCACTGTTGATACTCTGATCACAGTTCCTAAACAATAGCCAAAAGACATATTACCAGTAATAGTCTATAGTTATCATAAATTATTCTCAATTATTATTACTTGGAATTTTATGAAAAGGATTTAGTGAAGACCTTAGGAAAAACTGCTTCTATGTTTCAGCACAGATGAATTACCCATACTCATACCCATATCTGGTAGACTGCCCAGGGATTTCCTTGGAAATCTAATGGCTTGGCTATGTGCACTGCATCTGGGGAATCATCAAGACTGTGTCCCCGGGAAGGGGGGGGCACTTGGGTATTTTTTGGGTGGGCATGTGCTGCCTGGGACTCCAAATTGGCACCCTGTTCTAAAAAAAATTTCCTGCAAAATTGATACCCCGTTCTAGAAATGGGCCAATTTTTTATACCCCGTTCTAGAATTCGCCCTAAAACTGATACCCCGTTCTAAAAATGGGCCAATTGTTTATACTCCGTTCTAGAAAGTTTGTAAATTGAAATAGCCCTGTTTTTTAAATAAGATATTTCTTTATTTGTTCCACTTATACATCAAATAAATGTTTTTTCATAATCAGCAACAATTTTAAGTAGAAGATAAAGCCTTGATCCAGAATTTTTTATACCCCTTTCTAGAAAACGCCTCTGAGATGGATACCCCGTTCTAAATCAGGAGCTTCAAAATCACAACCCCGTTGGGCGGCACATACCCGTATAGGTAATGTATGGGAGTACCCCCCCGGGACTGTGTCTTAGCAGTGCCCAGTGGCTCCTGGCAACTAATTACTACTCCTGGGAGTCTAGAGGATCTTACCTTTTTTATAGACACCAGATGCTGCGCACCCTGAATTTCACAGGTTCAGAGCACTGGGCTCCTACCAATATTATTTTCTTGGAGCACAACTGTGATTATGGTTGACTTTTATATTATCACATGAAAAGCATGTTCCTCTATATTTTCTAACCCTAAAAAAATATCATCTGCAGGGTTGTCAAAAGTAGTCGGCTGCCGGCGAAAATCACTGCCTACTTGGTTAATATCGGCCGGCCACTCTGCTTAGCATTTCTTTACAGATGGCGTTTTTTAAATAACATATTGCTGGACTGGCCGCTTACATTGACAACTCAGCTGTCCACTTCAAAACTCTCTGACAACCCTGCATCTGTCCAAGGGGTATTATCCAGTCTAAGGTTTTGATATACAGTCAACTCTCTCCAAGACTGGCATTAAATGTCCTTCTTAGAGAGATGTCTGTCTTATAAAGAGTCAAGTAAAGGGAATAAGCAAAGGCAGGAACCAACTCTAGGTGTCCGTTTTACAGAAGTGCCCGTTTTATAGAGGTGTCTGTTAAGAGAGAGTCAACTGTAATTTATTGTTGATAAGCAATTTTTAGGAGCGAAAGTTTTGTCATAACCGTGTGAGGTTTAACTTATCGTCTTCTCCTATCCCTACCCCTCCAGGTTTGGTAACCCCCCCCCGACCCTTGCCGATGGGGACTTGACTCTGTCTAGACTTTTTGTTACCTGATAACCGGCTCACTCACCTGAAACAGCAAGAAAACGGCCAATATCGGAAGATTTTGGAATAGTGTCCCTGCGCAGCTCTGGACAGATGGGTAGATTGGATAACCTCACATGCAAGTTTGACTTGAACGACATTGAAACTTGTGTTGTATTTTCTTGCATGATTGTCACGGCTGCCTGAGATAAGGCTGCATCAAATAATGGCAGCATCTTGTTCGGTTCTGCTAGTATCTTCTGGCTGACCTCTATGTTGGAATCAAAGAGTTCTAGTGCATTAACAACGACACAGTATTGGTCTGACGGGTCGTCAGCGTGAAGAACCCTCGAGATATCATTCCGATGGTGTTCTTCAAGAAAGGCTTGAAAAACTGCAAGATGGTGGTCCTCCTCTTGGCAGTTAGTTTGAGACATCTTTAGATTGCTCTTATGACAAAGATTATCGCGATCAGGGACTATTTTTGCGCCTTCCTTTGGAAATTTCTGCTGTCAAATATTACAAGTTCCCCGCCATGATCGAAAAGTGCGCCTTCAGTTGTGGTATCCAGTCTCCTTTGTTTATAAGCAGGTACGCCTGCCAGAAAATACCTTCCCGCCATTTCCGCCATCTATGAAAGAAGGAACTTTATATCGGCGAGAAAAGAGCTCTGAATGTCGTGCTTGTCTGTCTTTCCGCCTCCACCTTCAGATGGAGAAATAACGTTGTGTGAATTTAATGCAAGGCTAATTTCTGAGAGTTCTGAAACTGCAGATGTGTCAAAATATGTTCCAGCAACTCAGGTGATGAGTGGTCAGACTTTTATTGTATCTGTATGTTACATTCCTTTTATTTGCCCGTTGTGCTTCCTGTACATTTCATTGTGTTTCTTTTCAAAATTTCAATCTATAACAGGGCCTTAATTACCCCTCAATCAATATAAACACAACAAGTGCTAAAAATGGTGGGAAAAGCCTTTCGAAATCAACTGATCAAGAATGGTGCCCATTTGTACAAAAGGACGAAAGTGTTTATAAAAAGCTGATCAACACGTGGTGAGTGATGCAAGATAATTTATGTACAGACTCAACCAATTTCCACAGGAGCTGGTCAATTAGCCTGGCAATTCCTCAGAGATTGCGATGGGAAACAGTGTCATCACTGGTCATTGTTAGATGTGATGTGACCTTGATTGAAACTAACTAATTTTCTGAATACTGGCCAGGGGTAAGATTTTGGTAAAACTGCCCACCGTAGGGGGTGGAGGGTGGAGGACTGCTGCTGTGATGGGTATGGAATGGAAAAAATAACTTAATTGCATCAGCTTATTTATCATAATCAGCTAGTTTACGTAGGTAAAAAATTTGAACCTGAAATCAATGTTGACCTACAACAGAAACATAGTGTATTCCATTGACATAGCCGTAATAGAGAGAACCTAAAATATCAAGAGACTTTATTTGTGTTAATCATGCATGTTCTTAATTCCTATGACTTATAGGCGCTCTAAAGGTTTCTCAGAAATGCTTCTTGAGGTCAAGAAAAGCAAAGATGAAGGTAAGCTAAGAACCAGCAAATTACCTGGCTTTTTCAGCCATAATTTCCCTGGGTGGTGAGACCTGTTTATCTGGCAGCTCCCATCTGGTGAGGACTCTGAGATATGATTGCCACCTGTGATGATTAGTTGGTTTATCATTTTCCTTGCTTAAATGGGTGCCTGCTGTTTCTGCAGGCTCTTACTGTATCCAGCTGCGACTCAGGGCTGTCACTTAGATTTCACGTTGCCAAGTATATGCAATTAGTAGGTGAGAACTGAACAGCTAGGGATTCTTTTGGTCTGTTTCTCCTTTGTTTCCTATGTGTATGAAGGTAGGGAGGGCTTGTGGCAGTGATGCACATGGTAGCTAGGGAAAATCCCCTCCCTGCCAGCACATCCATCCAACACATGGCTATGAGCATGCATTTCAAGTATCTATCATACTGAGTTGATCATTCCAAGAAAGATGCTGGTTATGGTTGAGTGGGATCTGTAGATAGGGTGGTAAAAACATCTGAAATTGAAACAAGTCCCTTAACCCTTTAAGTCCCAATAGTGACTAACGTCAATTTTCTCCTAATGATATCCATACCATGTCAAAAGATTAGGTTATGAGAATTAATAAAATGATCACCTAAGAGAAAATACTTTGATCTTTTATCAAATTCTCTCAACTCATTCTTTAAGGAAATATATAGAGATCAGTTTGGAGAATTTGTATGTGGATATTGAGGCTTAAAGGGTTAATACTGCTATTTTATTCCAATGTTTTCTCAAAGTTCCATCATGGTTGTGGCATTTAAGTGGAGGCACAGATGCTGTTCTCACATGGTTTTCTTCACTTTATGGAAGATTATTTCCCCATTTAAATGTAAGTGGTGTGTTCTTCTTTCAATTTTCAGTTGTTTTTATCTATTATCATGCCAGAAGTTTTGTTTGTTCTTTAGTTCGGTTTTCGATTCTGTTCAGAATTAATGAAATATTTACTTAACTGCAATATTATTTCATTAATTTTATCTTTCTTTGTTTTCAGATGTCAAGAGAAGAAATGATTAGTGCCTTCTCTCTGGTGTCATCTTGGTAATTATGACAAAAAAAATTAGTTTCTTGGTTTTGCAGAATGTGCAACCACCAGCATTCAGAATGGTGAAAAGTAAAAGATCAATGCCTTAAACTTTGTCAGCTCTTAGGCAAAGTATCTAAGGAGCAATATGCTACACCAAGAAAACTCACAAACAGGCAAAAGAAAAAAAAGGGGCATACCAGTACCTTAAAGTCCACATGGTTTATATATGAAATTACATCATAATTACGTTTTTAACAGCGAGTCTAAAATACAGGTCACATTTCTTAGGTCAGCTGATAGAGAAACAGTAATAAAAGTGTCTTTTGGCCTTAATCATGCACTCTAACGTGTAAAATGTTACCCGTTCTTAACACCTGCCTTATTTTTAATAATCCAAATGTCCCTATGTTGTGTGTATTGTATACTTTGTAGGGAAAACTCACCCATAAGGGCTTTTGCTTGGCATCCTCATGTGGCCAAATTTGTCATAGCTTGGCAGGTAATATTATTAGGGTCTTGTGTAGTTCATAATTATCGTAACTGTAACAAAATTCTTAAATTTGATTGGCTATCACCTGTCCTGATGTCAGCACTAATAGGACAGTGTAACAGGACAGTACGTGCCACTGCATGTGTGCGTAAAAATGGCTTATTTTCACTACTAGCAAAAAAACTCTGGAATTTCTTGGGTTTTAATCAGAAAAAGGACTAAAATATGACAAATTTTGTTATAGTTATCATTGGTAAGAAAACTTTGTGTTGTCCAGTTTGGTCTCTAATCGTACTAGTGATTAAACAAATTGAACTCCCGCTAGGTGGACGTCCTATTTTGTTAATCACTTGTATGATTACAGACCGAATTGGACTCCACTCAGTCCTTTTACCATTATTAATCAGAGATGTTCTGTAATAATGGTTTTAGAGAGATAAGTGTTGATCAAAAGGTTTTTTTTTTGGTGTTGATCAAATTTTGATCAAGTGAACTGGAACTTGTTTTCAAGCCCTGATAATGTCTTTATCATTAATAGAAAGTAGATTAAGTAGACAATTTTAAATTGTTCCCTTTACGATTAAATCAGCCTTGTTATAGTGGTGTTGCACTGTCAGTATTCAAAGAGCACTGGTAGTTGCAATTGGATAATAGTTGTAACATAATTTTTTTTTTCAGGATGATTCAGTCCAGGTGCATACGTTATCCAGGTATGGAGTAAAAATTAACGCTAATAAAAATATTATGATGTTTTCTTGTTATTAACATACCTAGTAATTTACAACCATTACCAGCCTAACTATGTAAGATGTACTTTGACTAGACTATTTTGTTTAAATAATCCAATTAAAAATTCTTGTGCCCAAAATTTAATTTGGTTAAAGGAGCAGGGTGCAAAGAAAGTGTGTTTTTTAAAGTAGCCCCCCCCCAAAAAAAAAAAAAAATTTTGTTGAGCATTATTGAATACTGACTTATGTCTGTAATTGGAATTCCCCAAAAACTTCACTTGCCTGTCGGGGAAGTTAAGAGCAGAGTTCAATAGGCCAGACTCGACTTTCTTTGTTCTCTGAAGAGGTTCGTAGAAATATGTACCACTTCTTATGCGCAGTCAGACTTGAGGCAGGGCTTGAAACTTGAAATTCCACCATTTCTAACAAGCAGCTCTGTAATGTGATATCCTTGATTACCTCAACAGTGATTTAATTCCTTTACTAAAGCATAAACAGCAAAAAGCAGTCAGCTGTGTTGCATGGAGGTAAGCATTGAATGTTCATCCCCACTTGACTTCTTAAAACTGGGATTGTAAAAGTTTGCCTTTGACCATTAGATTCTTATAGTTATTGGATTCTAGCTTTTGCAGTTCTTATCGCCATCCAGTTAGTTCAATTGGATAAGCGCCGGTCTGCCTAGAGGGAGGTTGCAGGTTCAAACCCCGACCAGACCAACACTCAGGGTCGTAAAATAACTGCAGAGAATGTGCTACCTTTGTTGTGACATCTACAAATGGTTAGGTCATTCTAGTTTTCTTGGATAAGGATGAAAAATCATAGGCCCCTTCTCAGCTCTTTCACTGTACTGATTCTTGTGGGATGTAAAAGAACCCACACTGCTTTTCGTAAAGAGTATGGGGCATAGACTCCGATGGTACAACCATTCATGGGCTGGGTGGGTTATGGAGAGGTTGATATCAACAATTATTGTGACGGAAGTCCTGTTTCATCCCCTGTCACTGTGTTGAGTACTGTGGCAAATTACAATAAAGAAATTATCTATTACAAAGACCCTACATTATAAAATTATTAACTTACAGTATGCAGTCAAACCTCTTGTAAGCAACGACCGAAATGCAAAGACTTTTTGGTTGCATACACACTGTACGAGAGGTGGTTACTGATGAGAATCAAACCACAGGAGTCTCTTTCAAGAAAAAGTCCTGAGACATCTATGGTTTCGGACAGTTGATGGCTTATGGGAGCTGGTCACTTAAAAGAGATTGTCTTTTAAATCTGTATTTTATTGATGTTTATCACAAATTTTTGCAAGGATTTTCAACACGTTAACTCTATTACATCAACTATGCACATTAGCAATACTCAAGAGGGTCAATAAAGGAACAGAAAAAAATCATTTCACAATTCACAGACTAACACTACTCACTCTAGACAATTTTAGCAAATGTAATATTATTAAGGTGTCAACGAAAACAGAAATTATAAAATGTGACGTGTCAGAACATAGTTAATTGAGTGGAATGGTTATGAAACCCGTCAAACTCCTTTGTTATATGTTTTTGTGGACGTGAAAGTGCACAACGTTCAAAAGAATTCCTATCATTTTGATTGTATTGACCAATAAAAACGTTGCATTAATTTATTCCGTAACAATTTGCCAACAGAAAACAAAGGATTGTGCACTTTCACGGTGTTTTGAACATAAACTGCAGCACTGTTGTTTTTATCATTGATGTTTGCCGCTTTTCATAACCAGTCTCCTCTAATAACTATGGTCAGAAGAATGGTTAAATGGCTATTTCTTAGATTTCAAGAAGCAGAATACACTTGTGTGATCTGGCTGTAGCCTGAGAAAACAGTTGACATTTGGCAATGCTACCACTGGCTTCCCGCCAAATGACATCTGAGAAACGAGCTCAGAAATTCCACACTGTAACGCATCACTACCCAGATCTGGGTTGTGCTTAATTCTGATTGGTTGTGCCACGTGGGAAATTTGATTCAACCAATCAGAAGAACTACCCAGATCTGGGTAGTGACACATCATCATGGAATTTCTGTGTGTGTTTGTCAGACTTCATTTGATGGGGAAACCAGTAGTACTTAATAGCATCACCAAATGTCCGTTGTTTTCTCAGGCTAATCTGGCTGTTGGGTTTATTATTTTGTACATATTTCTTCCACTTAGCATCGTGAAAGGGGAAGAAGGAAAGGAGAAGAGGTTGACAACATGGAGGTTCAACTGTAGTGCATTAATTATTTTAATAATTATTAATAAATAATATATTAAAATTAAATGAAAGTTAAAAAATTATTCTCTTGTAATTGCAGACCATTATCAGGGTCGGTGTTAGTGGTTGGATGTGATAATGGTCTTTTTGTGTGGACTGTCGACCCTTCATCACCAGTTGTCAGGTTAGTACCTGTTCATGAGCTTGTCTGATGTTTATTTTAATAATTATACAGTAAGGGCCAGTTGATTGAACAGAGTTTATAGCGAGTGTTTATTAAAGAAAACTGTATTCTAAGTCATTCTCGGTTTGCTGTCAGTGCTTTGTAAACACCATTTGTCGTGAACAGTTTCATGAAAGCATACAGTGTAGACTAGAAAAGCATTTTCCTTCTTATAATAACTCACTAAGGAAGAGATCTGGCGGTCCATGGGTAGATGTCTGATAGTCTGGTGAGGCCATGTGCTGAAGATGAGTATGGGAAACAAACTAGTATTGTCTCAGGTGTAACCCGCTGAGCTTATAAATTGCATCTAGCTGAGTGAATGAAAATATTGACCAATCAGTCATAAATTTTAATTTCTTTTATTCTGTCTTTGATTTGTTTTCTTTCCACAGACTGGGCAGTAGTTCTGTTCGTCATCTAACCTATCCAGGCCACACACCAGTAACAGCTGTTTCTTGGAGTCCTAGTGGACAATTTCTAGTGTCTGGGTCTCCAGCAGACAGTAACTTAATGGTAGGTGCCTTAGAATATGATCAAGAGGATGACAAAATGTACATATTGCCTGCAGTATAATTAGTTTTTTTGAAAAAAAGCAACTTGATCTGATGTTAGGTTGTCCTGTGCAATCATTATTTTGTGTAGCACAATTTTTAGATGTCTGTGTGAATTTTGTGGCAGCTGCTGGATGGTTGCAAAGTTAAAAAACTGTTAACTCATCCTTATGGCAAGACAAGGGAGAGAGAAAAAAATCTGAAGAAATGAAAAATTGAAGAGTAAGTTTTTCTAATATTTTGGTTTGCAACACAACCTTCAACTGAGGCTAAAAAATGAAAATGAATACAAATATGTACAAGGTAAACATTTACATAATTATGTGAGAGTTGTATGCAAACCAAACTCAGGCAAATACACTTTACCATTCTTTCTTTTTTTTTCTCTCTAACTCTTCTTTCCATAAGGATCATTTCACAGTTTTTTAACTTGGCATTCAAGATTTTACTGATCCAGGTCTACCTAAGATCTGGCTACAGTCCTCACTGCTTTGTTGCCGTGGTTTTGCCTTTATTGGTGCTTGATGGTTTCCCTGTGTTAGATTTAGATGATCTTGTTGCAGGGTGTTCCTGTGTAAACATATTAAAATTACTTCTGCAATTATATTGGTTGGGTTTTGGAAATCACGAAGGTTGTTATGTGTTCCCCCCTCATTGTATTGCATCCATGACAAACGTTTATTACTTGATATTTACATAACAGTACTTGTTATTTGTTTCTGATGTACAGGTATGGGACATCTCCTTGGAGTCTGCTACACCTTTATACAGAGCAGGGGGTGGAGTCACATTAACTACGTGGTCACCGGATGAGAGGAATCTGTTTGCTGCAACACCTACCAGCTTGTTCAGGTGGGACAATTTTCATATTGTGAAATTTAACTATATATATAATAATGAAGTTGTGGACTCTTATTAAAAGCCTTCAAACAAAGGTCAAAGAGAGAGCCAAAAAGAGTGTCTGGCAAGGTTTCCAATATAAATCAAAGATTTGTGAACTCGTGTCTGGCAAACTCTCCAAGTATTTATATATTCACAGTTAAACGCACCTCATAACCTCATCTGCGCTTAATGAGTGTCTTTTGGTCCATAACTTTCAAAACAATTGTTCCACAGAATGTCACTGCATAACGCAAAAGAGTATCAAAGTATAACTGCACAATAAATGTCACAAAATCTACCTGAGCGGTCCCTTCAGGATTTTCTGTCTTTATGTCATCCTAACCATTTCGTACTTGCAGGCACAAACAATAGCAACATCGTCATTACCTACTGATTCCTCGCGGCCCCTGTTCAAGCAAATCGAGATTTTTCTATATTGACTGTATGACTGTATATACTTTCCTTAATATACGCGCAAGTTACTAGAGTGCCTCCTGGGGATTTCGCCTTCTGGGCGAAATCCCTGGGGCAATGATATTGATAACACTTATATAGCACTGATATCGATATTTGCTATTTACATCAGCGCTTAATACTGATATATAGATGATCCAAGCTTAAAAAAAGTTTTATAATTTAATTAACAGGGTTTGGGAGACTCAGACATGGACCTGTGATAAATGGTCAAACTTGGCTGGGACGTGCCAGGTATTAAACTGTTATTGATTTCTGAGCAAGAAAGGTCAGGTGATTATAGGTTAAAATAACTAGGTTGACTTAAATCATCAAATATGCCAGCTGTGAGTACTATAACCTGTCTCATAGGAGCCGGATAACCCTTTAAGCCCCAATATACACATTCAAATTCTCCAAACTGGTCTCTGTTCATCTCCATAAAGAATAAGTTGAGAGAATTTGATAAAAGATCAAAGCATTTTCCCTCAGGTGATTATTGTATTTATTCTGACAACCTATTCTCTTGATCATGTATTGAGATTGTCAGGAGCAAATTGATGTTTGTCACTCTAGGATCTTAAAGGGATAAAGGGAAAACACCTCTTGCTGTACCATGGCACAAGCAGCTTTGGTGTCCTAAGGACGGTAATAAAAATCAAAAATCATAAAACTGGTCTTTGAGGCCTTATCTCTTTCATAATACAGTAAAAAAACAAAGGCTCGCTAGGTAACTTCACCTTTAGTCATGGAACCTGAAAAAGATTTGGGATTTTAAGGGAGGGTGGAAAGCAGGTGGATTTGGAAAATTGTGCATACCTCTGAAAAATCTTGGCTGTGGTTACTATAAACTGCCTTATGAGGGAAAGAGGGAAAAGTGTGATACAGTACCCTGCTGAAGCAGTTGTTGTGTCCTTACCCCTCATGATGGTACATTTTACTGCAGGCAGCATGTTGGAGTCCTGATGGAAAGGTTCTTGTGTTTTCTGTGGCTAATGATGCAGCTCTTTATTCTCTTCAGTTTCAAGATGTTGGTAGGTTCATACTTTTATAAACATATTTTGACTTGATGTACCCGCAGATCTTTGTATAGTGTTGTCATGTGAGAGAGAAGTACTCAGCCCTGCTTCAAAAACCCCTCTGAAGTTACATTGTGGGTTATTCGACTAAGCAGGGTTATTGGCTTGGGGTCGAGGTGGCTTAATATTGGCCAAGTTCTTTTTTTCGCTTATTCATGGACCTCAAGACAAAGTCGAGGTCAATTAAAATGCTGAAAAGGAACAAGGCCAATATCCAGCCATTTTGAATGAACAAGCTTGGTCAATGAAGCATTATTATTTCAAAAGGAGAACTTTTTCTTGAGGGACCAACTCAGGAAAGATAGGTCCATCTAGCCTGCTTGGGTAGCTCGCTGGGGGAGCAAATCTGAAAACATTATTTGCTTCGATCTTCTTGTTTGCTCACAGGTTCAGCCATATGTCAGAAGAAAGTATTGAAGAGATGCCCGAAATAAAGCCCCAAGAGTAATCTGATAGACTGTTAGAGTCTCTTTCAATTTGCCCTGTAAAATGTGGGAAGTGGGAATTTCATAGTGCATCAGGAGTAGTAGTTATTGCACATACCCAAGGCTTCTGCAACCAACACCTGGGCTTGAATTTAGGCACCAGTAAATTGTAAAATATCCAAAATATGTTTACTGACTCACATCTGACAAGCTGGGAAGTTGCAACGTAGTGAAAATGTAACAATTTAATCTGGCTGACTGAAAAGCATTTTGAAATAATGTTATGATTTCAGGTGACAAGGAAAACACTTCTTCAATGGCAAAGGGTGCAAGATTAGCTGTGAGATGCACTGATTTGACACCTCACACCTGGGAAATAGATGATGAGTCGGTGACAACTGGAGGGTTTGTTCGCTCCATGGCTTGGGATCCTTTAGGCGAAAGACTGGCAGTTATTTTTAAAGGTAAACATGCTATGTGGAAGTGTGTAAAGTCATACAGGGTTTTGAAATCTCGAAAACAGTACTTTCAAGTCTTAAAAAAGTCTGGAATAAGATTAGTCTGGAAAATGGTAAAACGTCAGGAGGTTTCAAAACTACAAGTGCTTCACTGATTAAAAGTGATTTTTTCCCCCGGCCAGTAGTCAAATCTTTCACAACTAAATTTAAAATATGCTATCTAATCACAGAATGAGGAGTTTCCTAACTCCTCTAGGTCTGCACTGCACTGTGGTTACTGCATTATTTTTACTACTATGTGCATCATGCCAGAAAAGCATGGTTCTTGCTAACCATCAAAGATGAGGGGAAAGAGGGAATTCAGGTGCACTAAAGTGGGAGGGGTGTGCAAGAAGGGGGAAAAATCGGTCCCATTTCCCTTCCCCTTTTAATGCTGGCCACAAAGGCGAGGTTCCTGTGGTTCCTGCCTTCTAGGTCTTTAACATCTGGAAAGTTGAACTCAAGTCAAGTGAAACCCAAGGACCCTTCCGCTCTCTGCATGTAGTCCTACCCCTGGCTAAAGTATCGCAGTTTCCAATAAACTTAGCTGCACTTTGTAAAACTTTTTTTTGATACTACATGATTTCCACAGGTGAGGACAAACCAGCTCAAGAACTTGTTGCCCTATTTAAAACAAGACTGGAACCAACATTTGAAATCATGCCCAGGTAATAAAAATATTATAATGGCATGATTTATTTTCAAGTTGTCAGCATTTCTGAGCACATTTTTAGCTCTTGCTCTTTGCTTGGCAAGTGCACATAATCATATTATTGTTTTTTTTTTGCTTTCAAACCTGCAGTGGCTTTGTAAGGGGACCTCCAAATACAAGTCCACAGCTGGTCACTTTCCAGCAAGACTTCAAAAAAGGAGCACTTCTTACTATTGTAAGTATGGCTTATCAACGTGGAAAAATAATGGTTACAATAAAAATATTAAAAGCATTTGCAGTCATGATGTGAATTTCATTAATTCTTTGAGTTGTAAATACCTCAGTTCACTGATCAGAACTTTACAATTCCTTCTGTTTTGATTTCAGTTATAGTCCATTATATTTTTCATGTCGATGTTATTCTTCTACAAATACCAGAATTCATTCACATTTATTATTTAAATTTATCAATCATACTAAGGTTTAAACTACAACAGCCATAATTTGCGGAAGAAAACAAGAGACTGAAGGTTTATGGTAGGCTCAATTACCAGCCATTGTTCGGGAAAATGAGCCCACACTCATCAAAGACCAGACCCAGGAGACGGCAGAAATTAATTAGGTTTATGGTTACCGTAGTTTTGACCTATTAAAGTAGAATAGCTTATGATTTTTAAAGTGTTGAAGAGAAACACTGTTTATTTCTTTTTCAGTGTTGGTCAAATGGCAGCATATCTTTCATTCCTCTACTATTTTCTCCATCCGCACTGATTTCCTCTCATAATCAGTTTGAAAATGGAACATTAACAAGTCCTGTGGTATTATAATGAATTCTTTACGTCAAAGAAAAAAGTCTGTGAAAACTTGTATGTGGGCAGAAACATGTCATTAACAAACCTTAAAAAATATTAATATTGTAATACAAAAATTAAATAAATCTGCTCAAAACAAAAATAATGATATTTTTATTTTATTTCTCTGTTCAACCAGGAGTTCAATCCAAGTCAACAATAACATATCACACATATCACACATATCACATATCACATATCACATTTTGATTTTTTCATATTTTATACCAATAAGCACAACTTGACCCAGACTCCAAATAATTTGGGGTCTGGGTCAAGTTATAATTATTATAACTTGGTATCCTGGAAGGCCATTTACAAGTTCCAAAATCCCTCACTTTAATCCTTTATGTTCCAAGAGCGACCAACAGCAATTTTCTCCCAACAATATTAATATATAATAAAAAGAAAAGTTTATGAGAATAAATAAAGTGATCACCTAAGAGAAAATGCTTTGATATGTGAACAAATTCTCTCAACTAATTCTTTAAGGGAGTACATGGAGATCAGTTTGGAGAATTTGTTGAAAGTGCTAAAAACAAGGCTTAATGCAAAATCTTTCTTGAGAAATGAGTTCTATTTGGATGAGAATTAAAAATCATTTTTATATTGATCAAGGGCTTCATACTTAGCCTCACTTTTAAACAGAGGCTTCAGACAACTTGGAAGTGAAATATTGCTTAGGACATTAATGTATGACTTCTTACATGATTTATGAACCATCAATTTCACTTAGATGTTTGTAGTGACAAAATAATCATTGTCAGTGATGAAATATGTGCAAAACCGGTTTGAATCAAAACAATGGGTATATTATTAATTCCCAACTAAAGCACAGAAGAGTTCAAAAGTTGATATTATCCTACCCAGAAAAAATAGTGAACATTTCATGACTCACCACTGGTTTTCCCGTGAAATGATGTCAGAGAAACGAGCGCTGAAATTGCATGCTGATGATGCACTAGAGGCAAATTTCCCACGTAGCAGGACCAGGTGTGGATTCACACCAGCTTCCAGCGCTTTAAGGGAATTGGTCAGATTTTTCATACTAAATATATTTTTAGTAATAAAAAACACTTTCCAAGTTGAAAACTGGCCAATATCGTGTCTGAATGACTCGGAAACCCAAAAAAGGGGACTTTAAGGAGTTAAAAATCAAAAAGACTTTGATACAGGGGAAGCCTGCCCTCGGACTCTCTAGAAGCTTGCACCTTTGGCCCTCGTTTAGGAAAGCAGTCAGTATTTATCCTGGATCCACGCCTGAGGACCAGCACTACCCAGACTCAGATAGGAAGGTATCATCAGCATGGATTTTCTGTGCTTGTTTCTCAAACATCTTTTTTACGAAGAAACCAGTGGTGGTGTTACAAAATGTTGGCTGGTTTCTCAGGCTAATTTTATCCAGGAGATTTGGTGACCCATACAGGAAAGATAGAGATTAGAAGTGTATCCGGGAGACTCCCAGGTAATCCAGGTGAGTTAGGAGAGTGGTAAATGAAAATACAATATTGTTATATCAGCTGGAAATTTCTTCCCAACAGTGCATGCTCTCATTGGTGACTTTGAGATCACATGACAAGTACACACTAATATCAGTCTTTGCTTGCTACAATGGCTAGCATATTAGGTCACCAGTTTGTGGGATTGAAAAAAAAAAAAAAGCCCCAGGGCTTATATTTTTCAAAGGCCCTTTTTGAGGGGCTTATTTTTGGAGGGGCTTATATTCAGAGGGGCTTATCTACGGATGGAAATTTGTGTTTCAAAATCGATTGTGCTAGCCTTGAGTTGGAAGGAAATTCACCATTTTGGCTTTGTTTTACTTTGTATTTGAGGGTAATTTTCCAAGTACAAGTCCCCAGGGGGCTTATATTTGGAGGGGCGATTTAACAGAGGGTTTTTTGCGTTACCGGTTTGGGGGGCTTATATTTGGAAGGGCTTATTTTTGGAATTTTACAGTAACATGTTGTCTTCACATGTGAAAATATCACCGTTGCTATGGCTTCATAATAACCCGCACCTTTCAGACCAAAAAACTATTTAAGTAAAATGGTTTGGCATTTCATTGGTGTTTATATAATAAATGTAATATTTACATGGTCACTTGGAGATATGTAAATTTCTCTTCTCGTGTTGAAAAAAATATTTCACGAGTGAGCTGTGCTCACTCTTGAAATATTCTTTTCAACATGAGAAGAGAAATTTTGTATCTTTGCGTGGCCATGTAATATCCTTTATATATCAATGGTGATCTTCCTCACATGTAAAGATAACATGTTATTTACATGTGAAGACATGATGTTTTCATATGAAAGCTTACCTGGTATTTCACAGGTGTTTTTATAATAAAGAGCAACATTTAAGTTGTTCGCAGTTTATCTTAGGAGAAAGATTTATTTCACATAAAAATTTCTATGACCAGAATTTTCGACCAACTTTTCAAGGTTGACCCCTGTTAATAACCGTACCGTCGGTAACGTTTAATCACATGCACCATCCATTGTATGATCGGATGAGTGGGTTAAAGTAACTTTTTGAACACGTGTCCATTAAATATTGAATTACATAGTTATTTTTGACCAAGAACTTTGGTTCTCTACATTGTTTACTCAACGAAGAAGAGAACATTTTGTTCTTGAAATGAAAGGCTTCTCTCGTTTTAAAATCGTTTTCTAAAATATCCTCCATGCAAACGTGTGGATAGTCACAATAAATTAAAATGCAGTTTAACACTCAACTTAAGTTCATTAAGATTTTGTTCCTTTACGTCTTTTCTTTAATTCTGAGGGGTTCAATTCCTCATTTTTGTGGTTTTCCACTGACAAACGACTGTCTTTCTTTCCCCAATATTCCTTCTCTGGTTTTATCTCGACTGGTTTGGGTTTCCAGGTCAGTAGCGAATTTAGTACAATGGCGGCCATTGTTCCTATTACTGGCCCAAGCCAAAACACGAATAAATGTTCAGAAATGACCTCTTTTCTTGTGCAATAGACGAAGGTCTGAGCGGTAGCCAGCGCTGGATTCATCCATGTTCCGGTTGTTTCGGCAAGAGCGTAGGAAACGACAACAGCAGAAGCCGCTCGAATCACTGAATTGAACTTTTTGAGCGCGTGCCCTCGTGACATGAAATCACTCATTGTTGTCACGAACGTTGCCATAATTTCGATCGAAATACCATACAGGAGCGAAACTTCAAGCGTCGATCGAAGGCCTTTCTTGACTTGCTGGAAGTGAAATTCACTCCAAGTCGATTGCCACAAAAACTGGATGAAGGGAAAGCTTAAAAGGCCGCCAATAAGTTGAAAAATAACTTTAGCGATATTTTCTTTCACCCAGTAGGCTTTCTTGTAGACGATGTCTTCTAACATTCCGCAAGGATTTGCGAAAGCCCCCTCGAAAATGAATTCAGCATGCTTTAAAGCTAATAAGACAAAGGTACAGCTGAGAGCAATCCAACTGCTGTAGAACTTTCCAATAATGGAGATCTCGAACACACAAACTGATAACTGAAATGTTGAGATCAACTCGTTCGCGTAAGCGTAGTAACCACTCGGCAGAAGTCTCTTTAGAGCAATTCGAAACAATTCGCCAACAAGAAAGCCGGCTGAAATGGCACCTATAGACCAGTGGAAGACCATTGCGAATTTGATTTACAAATAATTTTTCTGACCTTAACAGACAACAAGGATCTTTACCACAAAGTCATTGACCACCAACCAACAGGCAACAGAATAGTCATTTCACAAAACCGGTTTATTGAGACAAAAAAACTTGACCGGAAGTAATCTTTGGGTGGAAGTCGAAGAAACAACGGGGATGCTCGTTGGAAATTTTGAATTTAACCCCTAAAGGAGACCACATCTGACCCCAAAGGAGACTGGCTTGAGCAAATTTTGACCCCTAAAAGAGACCACTTAAAAACACACAAATACGACATGCAATGAGTTTTAATGATATAAAGACAAAAAACAAAGTTAAAAAGAAAATTGAGTTCTGCCCTTTCTTGGTGGCTTTAAATAATCCGATTTTTTTCTTAAGCGAGACGACGAGCATCCCCGTCTGTTTTCATATGGGGTATGTAGGGGCCCTTTCTCCGATTTTTTTCAGGCTAGTCAAAATGATGCGGTAGTTTCTAGAGAAAGTATAGTTTTGCGTCAATGGGGAAGCATTCTCTCCTGGTAAAATACAAAGATTTGGTTTTCGCAGTGTGTAAATACAGTTGACTCCCGATAACTCGAACCCTCGTTAACTCGAACCTCGCGCTAACTCGAACCAAAATCGATTTCTCCTGGATTTCCGTCATACATTTACTGTAATTTTACCCTCGGTAACTCGAACCCTCGATAACTCGAATCTCCCGCTAACTCGAAGTAATTTTTGTTTCCTCTCAGATCATTTCTATATAATTTTACCCTCGATAACTCGAACTATGTTTTGAACCCTTAAAAAGTCAGAGAAAAACGGTGTACTGCCTCCGAAACATTGAATTTTGAATTTCCCACTGACGCGTTGTAGGCATATAGTTTACTAATGGATCGATAGTGGAGGCTGATGTTGTTTGTCGCAAATCTAACGTGAAATAGCTTTACTTCTCAAAAAGTAAAATGCATGCTCTATTTAGGTAACGTTTTGTTACTTTACGTTCTGATTTATAATTTTTATTAGTATCTTTGAATTTTCACTCAACATTTCTACTATTAAATCTGATTAAATGTTATTAAAATGCTCACCGTGCAGTAAAAACTGTTTTTTTTTCTTTACTCCCGGCTATTTTCTTCGAACTCTCGATAACTCGAACCTTTTTCTATTTCCCTTGAAGGTTCGAGTTATCGGGAGTCGACTGTATGATATATAAGGCCATTCCCTTTTTTTTTCGTTTAGCGTCAAATGTGTTTCCTGATATTGGGTCAGTCGGTCGGATTGCAAAAAAAAATCACACGAAGTCTCGGAATAGGAGGCCCTGGTACCCCAGGATGACGTTAAAAGTTAACACTCACATATTTGGATTAACAAAATGCACAATATACTGTAAAAATGTTCTTGTTTTTGTTCCTGTTTTTCTCTATACTGTTACTATGCTCATTTCTCAGATTAAAAGAATTATTTCAAGTGAAAAGGGTTTAACTGCGTCGTAACTTTTTTTTCTTGGAAAATGCCAAAAATGTGGGTCGGCCGGACGACGCTTACCCTGGGTACCAGGTTTTTTCTCGCGTGCGACGAGGAGCTTCGTTTCGTCGGCCGCAGGTCGACATGTGTTCGGCCGAAGGCTTTTTAAGACTTGACCGAAACCGGAAACCGCGCATGAAAAGCCTCTGGCACCCAGGGTAGATGACGCTAAGCTGTGAAAAAAAGAGGACGGCGTAAGTAAAGAAAGATGGTTAATGTTGTATAAATGTTTCACAGTGCGTGGCAACTGCTGGTGTTGGAGTCAAACGTTTTTCTGTAACTCGCAAGAAACCCGGCAAGAAATCTCATTCAAATAAAGAATTAGCTCTCAAAGCTCGTCATTTCTTTATTAATTTACAAGTTTATCTCTCACTGACAAGAACTTGAAACATTTCTTTCAGTTGCAATACAATTTAAAACTAAATAATAAGTTGGGATTTTTATCAGTCTTCATAATTTCTTCTTGCCACACAAGCATACTCCTAAGTCCAGTATAGCTGGAAGTATTTGCCATAAATAAATATCAAACTAAAATAACCAACTCTACTAGTCTGCTCTACAGCCGTTTCTTTGTGTCGTCACGCAATGCTCTGGGGAGGAACGTTGCGTGACGACACCATACCCATCTCTGTACCAGACTACAGCTCTACATGCCTTTCCTAAACAACACTGGTTGTCACAGGGAACTTTACAGCTTTAAAATTCTGATTTGAGACAATTGGAAAGAAGATTCAGCTGGCAAAGATAATAAGAAAAACGCCACATGAACGGCCAAAGTTTTACTGGTGCCTTCGTGTGAAATTGGGTTGGTTAAGAAAAAGAAAATCGAGAAGTTGATGCATCGCAAGTGAACACGTGCCGCGCGCGGAAAGCAAAGCATTTTCTCATCAGTTTGTGTTCCCTGCTAGTTGACGCCTCAGGGAAAAGAGGCCTCTGCTAACACGGTAGACTGCAAAACAGTCGGTTTTTTCTCAAAATCGGTTTAGCGTAGAATAAGAATAGCCTTTTGAGTCTCACGCGCGCAAAGCGCGCGAGCCTCACACGCCAGGGCGTTTGGGCATCTTTCCCCAGTCTCGCTCTCTGTTTTCAGCCTCGCTCCAGACCTTTTGTTTGACTTGTTCGTTCGTACTTGAATGCACAAAAATACGGACTGTTTTGCAATCTACTAACCGGAAAGAGTTTGTGGAGACAAACCGGTGGTATGACCATACCATGGACCATTCTTTTGCCTTCCCTTTGTAAATAAATTCAGGCTAGCAGAAGACTCTGGGTACGAGATTGGCTAACAAGCGGAGACGAATCGGTCTGAAATGAAACCCAAGACAGGGAGCATTCTGGGACACCTAAGAAGACCTGGATAATGCGGAAAGACAGCAAAACAGTCGGTTTTTTCCTCAAAATCGGTCTAGCGTAGCTTAACAGTCTCACACTGTTTTGCAGTCTAAATGAAAGTGGAAACACTAAACCTAATCGGTAAAAGAAAAAAATTGTTCTGTTCGCTTATATTCACTTGACTGATCTCGGGTGATGTGGATTCTACGGTGGGGTGGGGGGGTACTCGTGGCCCCATTCAAAGATGAGGCAGATGAAAACTGATACCCTATTTTAGGCCAAAACCTGAAAAATGAGACCCAATTCAAGGGAAAAACAAAACCTAACAATTTAATGGAAACCTTACTTAAATCGCTCTCATAATACTCTAAGGTAAAGTTCAGTTTAAACAGATGATTTGTTTCTTGTGTAGCTGGGCATTTACGCACTTGAATTGCAGCTAATATAACGGTAATAACGGTACCCTATCTAACGAACGCACCGAGAATACAACGCCAAGAAGGACAAAATTAATACCCTATTTAAGGATGGAAACACCGGGGGTACTTCCTAGTAATAGGCTAATGGGAATGTGCCGCTGGATTGGGTCGCATTTTCACGGCTGGATTGACTATAATGGGGTTGCATTTTCATTAGAGTTTGTAGAATAGGATCGCAAATTTTCGGGATTTGGGGGATCGGAAAATTCACGTACATAGGGATTTAAAAATGCGAAGATTTTTACTTCATTAAATTTAACTACTGTGTCAATTCATTTCCGGATGACCTAGTTAAAAGGCTTTAAAAAGTAGAAGCATAAACAGAGAGTTACTAAAATGGGATCGCGAAAATTACATTTTCCCAAAAGTGACTTAAGATAGGGTCTATACTTGACCACATAATAGACTATAGTCGATTAGGGGTTCTAAGAGGCCAGCGGCACGTACCCAGCAAAAATTAACCCAAGTAACCCCCAGATGGAAACCCTTAAAAACCATACCCCATCGAGAAGCACATATCTATCAAGCCCATATACGGGAAAAGCCCCCCCGGGGGGGGGCTCTAGCACATACCAGGCCCAAATTTAGAGAGTAAGAGCGCCGCTAAAGGGGTAAATTTCATCCTTTAGCACCGCTGAAGTATTTAATCAGAATATTGGCTAGTGTACCCGTTTAAATTTTAAAACCATTTTCAGTTTGTGAGTGCTTTTGTATACTGCTCTTTTTTTTTTAGTAAATCCCTTAAAGAAAGGGATTTTCTTGAATTTAAATTTACGGCATTTTGATGAGTTAAACAACCACTCCACTGAATGAAACGGTTCCTACACGAACTTCCAGCTATACAGAGTATGCAAGAACTTGACTGAGTATAGTCTAACATTTGCAAGGAATGATCACCATCAATTGGCATCTCCACCATCTGAAAAGTCAAACACAGTTTAGGACAGTTAAGGCTGGTTTTCACTAGCGACGGAGTCGGAATCGGAGTCGTAATCAGAAGGGTAGAACTTTAATAGCTAGTGAAAACAGCGTTCTGATTTCGCTTACGACTCCGTCGTTTACGATCAACAGAAAACTGGGTTGTCGGAGTCGCAAGCAGAAGCGGAAGAACTAAACCAATCACAAAGCATGGGAACGTGCATAGTGATTGGTTCATTCTTCCACTTCTGCTTCCGACTCCGACAATCTGGTTTTCACTAGATCGTAAACGACGGAGTAAGAAGAAAATGGAAATGCTCTGATTCTTCCGACTCCGATTTCGTCTCGCTTATGACTGCTTACGACTCCGATTTTGGATTTTCAGAAGGTCACAAGCGCTCGTACGACTCAGCTAACGATTCCGACTCCGCCGCCAGTGAAAACCAGCAGTTAAAACTCTGAAGAGTCTTGGGACACCCACAGAAATCAGATTACCAAGCAAGCAGAGGTTTCTTTCTGGCATGGCTTTAAGCATTTACGAAGTCGTTCGTGTCGCTTGTCAGTAGCAGTTAGGTCGACCACTATCCGATTGTTTGAGGCTGGAATGAAAGAGGCCGTAATTTTTCTACGCATCAGATCGCACAAGCCGAGGATGTGGAAGGTACAAGTCGCCACACGTGTGGAAAAACTTGTTGGAGAGTTGAAGAGTTGTTGGAGAGTTGGAGAGTTGAATACGAGTAGAGCCCATAGATCAGCGTCCACCGCACAAAGCTTTAGCTGCTCCCTCCGCCTCACCTTCCAGTTTTCGAGTTCGTGTTATAAGTTTGACCTGAGACCTTGATGCGCCTACAATGCGTTCTCGTTTTTTTTTGTCCACCGCCGAGTTACTACACTAAATAAACTTAGAAGTTTTAAAATACAGAAATTGGGGTGCGAACTCTATCGACCTTCCTAGGCAAACTCGATACTGGGCGAAACCAGAGTATGAAACCAAAATGTCATTGTCAATGCGAGATTGCTTGTGGAATGAGGAAAGATTTGACAAAATGATGTACTAACCTGGTTTAGAATCGTCATTTTCGGATTGGTCCTCTTGTTCTCTGTGCAGATTAACGGCAGCTTGCGCTTGGGTTCGCAGCTGTTCAAACATTTCAGGATTTGACTGTTGCATCTGTTCACCAAACTGCTGGGCACTGGTGAGACAAAAAAAGTTGAAGACTTTTATAACTTGCAAACAAAATTACCCAATGACAATGGCCATGACCATAGGCTAAGCAAGATATGAAAATGTCAGTAATAATTGGTGAGAAGAACACAACGGAAATCACTACCAACATGGTAGTTTAGATATCAGATCTTAATTACTACAAAATGTTGCTTACTTTATCATGGATGTTTTCCAGGGTTACTGTTCATTTAAGAAGCTATTTTCAACCCATTTTTCGGTTAGGATAACAGATGAAACACTCCGCGTTATGATTGATATATTGACTTTTAACAATAAAATCCACTTACGCTTGAAAAATGCTAGCCGCACCACCAGCCCCACCAGGAGATGCGCCTCCACCCATCATACTCGTCATCCTGACCACAATGTAAAGGACAAAATGTGGTTAAAGCCACTGAGTTGATTAAACCAATTTTCCACCTAAAAAAGTTTAAGAGCTCGCGTTTCGAATGCCAGCCCGTCGTCAGAGGGCCTTCCGACGACACTAATGATTTCTAAATAGAGAGCTCGCGTGACCTACGAACCTTGTGCTGTCTATAACAGAGAGTTCGCATGACCTACGACTCACGTGATTTTCAAACAGAGAGCTTGCGCGACCTACGACTCAAGTGATTTCTCTCGTGATTTCCAAACAGACGGCTCGTGTGACCTTCGCCTCTCGCGATTTCCAGATAGAGAGATAGCGTGAGCTGCTACTCACGCAAACACCAGAGAGCTTGCGTGACCTCCGATTCGCGCGATTTTCAGGTAGAGAGCTGGCATGATCTACGGCTTGCGTGTTTTCCAAACAAAGAGCTCCCCTGACCTATAACTCAGACAAAGAGATCGCGTGACCTACTACTCTCCTGATTTCTAACTGACAGAGAGAGAGCGAGAGAGAGAGAGAGGGAGGGGATCCCTGATGCAAGCACTCACAGCTCATGGTTTTTGAAATACTACGAAATAAATATTAATGCATTTTTCTTGTTTCTGTTGGTGCT